TACGGTTCTCAATCACCTTTTCAGTTTCCTGTTGAACAAACTTCAAAGAAGAAATATCCAAGAAGGAAGAAGGCTTATTTGAGCAAATCAGGTGCACGCGCTGTAGAAGTTTAAGTTTGATTAAATGACACAATGTCTAATAGTCGACAGACTGCGCTATTAATAATAAACTATCAAAAGGTTGAATCTGATTTTGATAAATTATTTCTTGCCATTACCCCACTACACTTCCTTACTGGAGAGTTAACATTTACTATAAGACTAGACCTGTTCAAATAGGTCAGTTGCCATCAAACCAATAACATGTCCCCTGAGCTAACCCTTCTATATCTATCTCCCTTTCAAGGAAGCAGAAATAAAGTCAAAAACACCTCAAGCCTTATAAAAGGAAACAAATTGAACATCCTATTTCCAGACCTCCCTGCCGATTACTCAGACTGCCCGTTCTGACGGGGGATGGGAGAGTCTCACCATGCACATAACGCAAGACACAATCAAAATCTCAATAACCAAAACAAAGCCAAAAATTGCAACTGACAATTAATTAAACAAAAAAAAAAATGCAGATTACAGCTTTCTGCCATTTAAGTATGAAAGAGTAGAAAAACATAAAGACGCTAGGCAAATTCAACTCCATACCAACTCCAAACCTCCCCACCAAAGGCTACAATACAGACTTTATGAACAAGGGGATCCAGAGGGTAAAAGGACAGAATATGGAGAAATGGGAAAGGTATAATCACTGTCATTTGGATTGAAAAACAACTGAGCTAGAAAGTCGTAACATAATCAAACCTAGCCAGATAGGATTCAAACAGCAAAGGCGCTCACCAGATGAAGTGTTCGATATATAGAGTCACCGGACTTGTCATTGTTTTCAATCCTGGGCTTGCGCTTTATTTTCCACAGTGCAGACATCATCAGGAATGTATTCTCATGGTAATTAATTCTACCACCTGACGTGTTCAGCACGGAGACAGAAGTTTCTTAAAATATTCCCAGAGCACCAAACGCCTCCTAGCTCCGAAGAGAGCATCCTCTCATATGGACGTCCCATGCTGGTTTTCCCATGAAAATCTACGGCCACGTCTCAACGCAGCAAGGACAGCGACGGTGCAACCCCAGAGCTGCACTCGTTTCCCACCACTGCCCTCTGGGAAGCTGTCAAAAGGCTAAACTGTGGACCAGAACTCAGGCTTTGATTTCACCTGGCTAAACAACAAAAGTTCCAAAAAGGGAGAGCTGAAACTGGCAAGAAAACAAAGCACTGAATGCCTCCCGGGATGCAAGCGTCTCTGCCCTGCAGTCCGAGATCAGCTGATTGGCCAGCATCCTGCACTGCACAGGAATACTAAACCTGCCTGGCTCCGACGACTTTCAAGGCATTCCACACTGAGTCAGGAGCAGGCAACTAAAAAAAAGTTTGGTGTGTGCGTGTGTGTGTTTTTAACGTTGATAGTTTCACATTGTTCCACTCATGCTTTGTTATAAAAGCAGACATTTCTGAGACAAAAACAATATGGATTAGAAAGAAAAAAAGTCATTCTTAATGGAAATGTCCTGAAAATTATTCTCATACATCTGCTAAATGGAAAACAAAATCACAGCTGCCAGGAGGCCTGGAATGCATGACACATGACCGCGCTGCCCTGAAGCTAATTAGCATTCATTTCCAGAAACAAGAGTTTTCAATGAGAAGCAGAGAAAAAAGTAGCCAGCGGTGATGAGGCTTTCTGAGGTTGTCACCCACAGTCACAGGAGAAAGGAGGCGGCTCAGAAACAGAAAGGCTGCTAGACTGTCCCTGCAGTGTGATGTTCCCCCGCCCCTCCCTAGTGGCTGTGACATTCCAGTACCACCACGCTCAACAACAAGCATACAATTATTTACTTGCTCAATTCTAAAAGGCCACACATAGCAAAAACTGCTATTCAATACAAGTGAAAAGCACAGAACTCCAACATGCTTTTTCTTTATCCTGACCAATATTATGCAAAACAGCCCATTTAGAAAGAAACCAAGAACATGAAACAAAATCAACAGCTCTAACATATTCAGCTGGAATAAAAAGTGATTATTTGTTTCTGTTTGTTTAGTTATTTACAGATTTACATCTCTACACTCAGCCTGGTGCATTCAGACAAGGCTAAATCATGCTTCCAAGTTTAGACAGCTAATGATTTCAAAATTAATTTTCAGTTTATTCTCAAGAAAATTTCACACTTATATAGGAGATGCATCAAAAAACATTTAGCCTTAATCAAGAAACTTAAGGTGTTTGTTTGCTCTAACTTTAAATCATAAAAAGTGACACACAGAAATACTAAGCATTAGGAAAAAATTTACGTGGTTTATGGCTGTATATATAAATGGCCGACAGCACCACTAATAAATTAATGCCTTCTTTTTATGAAGCCTGGTATTTAACACCAGATGTTAACAGTCTGGACACAAAGTAGTTTTAACATAGCCATTAACAACATAAGACCTGGAGCAAACTGGGCTTGCATCCTGGTTTTGTCATTACAGAGCTGTGTGACCTTCAGCAAGTCGCTTAACCTCTCTGTTCTAGTGCCCTCATCTATAAAATAGGGCAAATAATAGTATCTCTCTCAAGGATGTTATAAGGCTAAGATGAATTTATATAGAACAGTACTTAACATATACAAGCCCTTAAATAAGTATTACTTCTCATTTATTATTACTAACACACAGTAGAACCCAGTCACCAAGAACTGCTCATTTAAGCTTTTTGTGTTCAAATATCTTAAGTGAGAAATTTAATTGACCAAAGGTTATTTTAGCTAACTAATTTGGGTTGCATAACAAACTTTCAAATAAAGAAGATGAAGTCTGAATCAAAGCAAAACTAGGAAGTATTTCGGACACACAGTGCTCCCCATATCCAACCTAGCAGAATGAAATACCAGCTTATGGCTTGAATGCAGTCTACTGCATGATCTTCAAAAATATTCAAATCACCACCCAAACTTCTTAATCTTTTTTTTTTTTTTTTGAGATGGAGTCCCACTCTGTCTCCCAGGCTGGAGTGCAGTGGCGCGATCTCGGCTCACTGCAACCTCCGTCTCCCAGGTTCAAGCAATTCTCCTGCCTCAGCCTCCCGAGTAGCTTGTCAATAATTTTGAGAAAATTCTGTCCCTTTTTAGAAAACCCACTAAGAATTTCTACAAGAAAATCTTCGAACAGCACCATCTATTTCTGTATTTGACCCTTTGTGTTCCAGATAAGTTCAAGAGCCTTGTTCTCTGGAAAAAGAACTGTGGAGTTAAAGTGACACATGGGACCAGTCAGCAAAGCCCTGGAGCCTCTTCCGTCCCCTCCACACCAGACCCTCACATTATACAGGACTCTGTGTATGACCTCATGACTCACTATATTTAACACGGAAACGATCTCTCTCAAAATCCACAAGGAGATGAGAACACTGACTATTACGGTAAAGTAAAAAGGATCCAATCATTTTGGATCCAATACTTTTTAAGTGTTCAGAAATAAATGTTTTAGATACAGGAAAAATTGCTGTTTGCCTAAATCCAGTTAGAAATTGAAAATTAATATTTTTAGTTCCCATAATATAGTAGCTTAATAGATACCCTTCAAATTGTCTTACATCAGTATAGAAATATCTGTTTCTCCTGAGGACAACTGACCGACCCCACAAAAGTAAGTGGGTAAAAGAAATGTAAGGATCACCTAAATAAAAAGTAACTTTAAGCAGTTGGTTTTTAAAATTTGCCTTAAAAGGAAACACCTGCATTTCCAATGATCTGCTTTTTAATTAACAACCAACAACATAATGCCTTTCAGTCTATAAATATTAATGTTGCTTTCAAATAATGTTGCTTTTATATTGTGCCCAACTTAAAAAGACACTGAGAATGAAGATCCTACAGTCAGGAAAGAGAAACAAATATGGATAAAAGACACTGAAGAATCAAATATGTGCACATAAGAAAGTCCTACAGAATATACACATACAGAGGGAATCAAAACAGGAAATGTACAAATGTAGGTTTTCAAAATAATAGTTTATGTTTGAAAAGCACTTTTCAGTTATCAATGTGCTTTCTCATATTATTTGACCCACCCAAAAATCCAATCTCCAAGCAAAGGCAAGAATCACCCTAATTTTGCAGATAAGAAAACAAAGGTATAAAGTTACATGATTTGCTTAGGTTAAGTGACTAGTAAGTGTCAAGCAAAAAATTGAGATCGCAGAGGAATGTAAATATCTCAACAACATTATAGAAAAAGATAAGTATAGAACCATAATCACATGCAATTGCTTTTTAGGGGGGAGGGGGCATGTCTTTTGGATTCAGGTAACACAGAGATTTTCAGTTGGGTTGTGTTTTGAAGACTGCGGTGAAAAGAGGCTGCTGACCCATGGAACACTTTATGAAGTGGAATAGATGCAGGATAAATTATGGGCAACGATTTCAGTGTCTTGCACCAAAGAGTCAGAAGAAGAACTTTCTTACTATGTTCAACTAAGGGAAAGTGTATTTGGATTAATTTTAAAATACGGTTTCTTTCCCTTTAACATAAAAGTTGCTCACTTTTAACAAGAGCTGAATGCAGGTGATTCAAAAGGAGTTCATTACAGAAACCCTAAGTAGCAAGAAAGCATAGCTGACTGAATCTCACATACTTTGGATGCTGTTTCATCCTACACAAATGAAGATGTAATAAGGAAATGGCATAAAATTATGGCATTCACTGGGAGCTCCAGCAGCGGCCGAAATTAAAGAAAAGGGATTTTATTTCATTACGAGTAATTTCTGCCCTATATTCTCACATACAGGTTTGTTACCAAGGCTGTAATTTGGATTTCATATCCTGCTATTCAGCAACATCTCAGAAGTAAAAACACTTCATCCATGGAGAGGCCTGGTAACCACCTACAGCTGCGTAGGTGACGTTGTCAGCCGTGATTCTTCAGTGGTTCCAGGCATGGGATGTGAAAATGAAAATCTCTCACCTTGCTGCTATGATCAGTCTCATCTGAGGATTCCAAGTCTGGCCCCTCGGTCTCCTCTGGAGCGGTCTCAGCACTGCTGCCCTGCTCGCTGCAGAGGCTGTGCCCTGTCACATGAAATCAGAAGAAAATGTGGGTCAACATGGATAGTAATTGCTTAAAAGCCAACCCTGTGTGAGGGGGACAAGGAATCCCGCTCATGACGTGTACACATACTGTAAGACCCTCCAAGTACAAGCTCCATCACCTTGGCTCAATCAAATTCAAATGATAGTTGTTACTGTTAGAACTAGTATTATTACTTTATATTTTTCATAATAAATAATAATTGTGGATTGAATGTCTTTGTCTCCCCCCATATAAATTTTTATGTGGAAGACCTACCCCCCACTGTAATAGTAGTTAGAAGAGGGATGTCTGGGAAATAATTAAGTTTAGATGAGGTCATAAGGGTGAGGTCCCCATGGATGAGATTAGTGTCCTTGTAAGAAGAGAGAGAAACCAGAGTTCGTTCTCTCTCCACCATGTGATGACACAGTAAAAAGGCAGCTGTCTGTAAGCCAGGAAAAGAGCCCTCATCAGGCAACTGAATTGGTTAGTACCCAGATGATGGGGAATCCCAGGTTCTAAAACCATAAGCAATAAATGACTGTTGCTTAAGCCACTCAATTTACGGTATTTTGTTATAGCAGCCTAAGCTAAGACAATAATAGTTTATAATAAAAGAATACATATATAATATACTAAAAAATTAACTGGTTTTGTTGATTTTACAAGTAGCAAATTGATTAATTAATTCATTAATTACTGAAATAAATAAGCCATACTGAGAACAGTACAACCAAAAAAATGACTGTCCCACATCCATTACCTGAAAAATCCTGCAACATCTGTTTTTGCCAAGTCTGGCAAACTATAAACATCTTATAATACCTGCTCTTCCCATGATATTCTGTGCAAAAGTGCAAGCAACTTTCCTCCTTTGCTATTTACTGAGTGCCTACCACAGTGGTTCTCTACAGTGGTTCTCCACATTGAGAAGAGAATGTGAGGATCACTTTCCCCTGGGGTGTTTCTCAAACTGACGGAGCATCTGGATCCCCAGGGGAATATGTTAAATGCAGATTCCCATTCAGTAGGCATGGGGTTGGGCCTAAGATTCTGCATGTCTTACCAGCTCCGAATGATACTAATCAAAACTGCAGGTCCATGGGCCACACTTGGAATAGAAAGACTCTAGAACATCAAAAGCTTTCTCTAGTTGCAGCTAAGAAGACAGTAGTTTGAGTACCACTGTCCTACAATATGAGGCACTGGATCATGGACTAGAGCACTATCAATATAACCAGACAAGAGAGAAAGAAAGAGAAGAAATGGTAGCAGAAGGAGCCTCTGATGCTTTAGATGAAAGATTCAGTCTGCAAAGTGGCTGCCTTGCTCCAATGACACCATTACAGCCATAAGCTGCTTGGCAACACTTTCTATTCAGGTCCACACTGGCCAGGAAAGTTAGGGAGGAAGTGGGCCTCTGAGCAAACCTGGCACCCATGCTGCCTCCTACTGTCCCTTTCTTCTCTGGAAGGAAGCACCAACTAAGTGAGTGTACCCTGAATGGCTTAGAGGTTTCTGTCTGTTTCCCCACCTTTTGGCTCTGGCTCTTGGATTTTCTTGTGTTTCTTTTCATTATTCGATCACTCATTACTTGCTCTTAAGGTGTTAGTGGTCAAAGAAGGAAGCTCAGTTAACTTGGCAGATATCATCTATGTCAACTGCTATTGCCAAAGCAAAAGTGGTTAATATTTTGCACAGGGGCAATGACCTAGGTACAAGTATTCATCCCTGATCTGGAACAGCTGACCAGCTCGTCTGGGAACACATTGGCAACAGCACTGAGTGCTCTGATCACAGGAACGACAGCATCCTCAGTGCGATGTCCAGAGCAGCCAGGAGGCACGATGGACAGGGGCCCCCTTCACACTGTGGTCTGCAGAATCACAACCTCCTGGAGTTGAACAAGCCATAGACTGGGCAGAGAAATGCTGCAACCCTGCACATCCCATTGCTCACAATGCCTAGGATAGCTGATGCTCATTAAATAGTGGGAAAGGAAATAAAAGGATTTTCCTTTGTTTTTGATTTTGGTTTTGGTTTTGGTTTTGAGACGGAGTTTCACTCTTATCACTCAGGCTGGAGTGCAGTGGTGCAATCTCAGCTCACTTCAACCTCTGCGTCCTGGGTTCAAGTGATTCTCCTGCCTCAGCCTCCCGAGTAGCTGGGATTACAGGCACCCACCACCATGTCCAGCTAACTTTTGTATTTTTAGTAGAGACAGGGTTTCACCATGTTGGTAAGGCTGGTCTTGAACTCCTGAATCCGCCCACCTCGGCCTCCCAAAGTGCTGGGATTACAGGCATAAGCTACAGTGCCTGGTTGGATTTTCACTTTTAATAATACTGTGAGAGCCAGGTTTCCTGAAGAGCAAACAAATAAATCTACTTCTACAAAACACTTAGAAATGCTAAATAAAGTAAAACAAATGTCTTTTTTAAACAAAGCTGAGCTCCAAAAACTCTCCAAAGCCCAAATGAAAAAGATAAAGTTGATAAAGGAAGGAGGGTAGTGTCCATGCTATGGCAGCCTAAGTATATCCATCAATCCCCAAGCTCTAAAGCAGTGTTTCCCAAAGGGTGTGAGAACCTGTTAGTGTTAGCAGGGTGACAACTCTTTGGGATAGAATTGTGCACTTGGTAGGGACACCTGGCACTAGGCTCCTTGGCTTCTGAGTACCAAACGATTAGGACTTGACTGCCACTGTGACAATCAAAAATGCACCCACACATTTCCCAACAGCAGCACCACCCAGTTTGAGACCACTGCCCTGGAGCCTTTGGTTTTAACTGTAAGCCCATGATACATGATACAGAAAACAGGGCTTGGGTCAATATAACTTCGGGAGTTAGAAGTGAATTTCCCACATTCATATGGTTCCCCTGAGGGGCGACACCTCTCCGTCTAAAAAGACATAGACTACAAGAAAAAAGTGCTCACTGGTAAAAGAAAAAGAGATGGAAAAAGAAATTCTGCCTATACTTTGGGGTAGGAGAGTGGAAGGGGAACACAGCAGGTTTCTTCCCTGAGATTTTTTTTTTTTTGGGGGAGACGGATTCTCACTCTGTCACCCAGGCTAGAGTGCAGTGGTGTGATCTCAGTTCACTGCAACCTCCGCCCTCTGGGTTCAAGTGATTCTCCCGCCTCAGCCTCCTGAGTAGCTGGGATTACAGATGCCCATCACCATGTTGGCTAATTTTTGTATATTTAGTAGAAATGGGGTTTTGCCATATTTGCCAGGCTGGTCTTGAACTCCTGACCTCAGGTGATCTGCCCGCCTCAGCCTCCCAAAGTGCTGGGATTACAGGCATGAGCCACAGGTCTTGGCCTGTTCCCTGAGATTCTAGTCATAGGACTGACTTCATGTGTTTGCATTCCAAGGCATCTGTTGGAGCAAAAACAAATCTACTCTGGAAGATTTCACCCTTAATGATGATATCATAATACCCAGAGATAGAGCTTGGTCAAACAAGGACCCATAATCCCATATTATAAAACACAACAGGCAACGCATCACTACGAGCAAGAAGCAACAGACACAGTAACGGACAAAATCAGACCCCCAAGGAATGATACCGCAATGATCAGATGTAGAATATCAAATAAGTATGCTTAAAATACTTTTTCAAAAGAAGAAGAAAGGGGGCCGGACACGGTGGCTCATGCCTGTAATCCCAGCACTTTTGGGAGGCTGAGGCAGGCGGATCATCTGAGGTCAGGAGTTCAAGACCAGTCTGGCCAACATGGTGAAAATGTCATCTCTACTAAAAATACAAAAATTAGCCGGGGGTGGTGGCACGTGCCTGTAATCCCAGCTACTTGGGAGGCTGAGGCAGGAGAATCGCTTGAACCCGGAAGGCAGAGGTTGCAGTGAGTCAAGACTGCACCACTGCACTCCAGCCTGGGAGACAGAGTGAGACTCCATCTCAAAAATAATAATAATAGAACAGAAGAAGAAAGAGATAATTTCAAAAAACACCAAGTAAATTAATAGAAATTTTAGAAATAGAAACTATAACCAATGAAAGGAAATACTCAATAGATGAGACGTAAATTGATGAAATGAGAAAAGACTAGAACATCTATCCGAAGACATTACCTTACTAGAGCTCCTAAAGAAATCTTCAAATGTTAAAACTATCAAAATGGAATTGCATTTTCAGCTAAAATATTACCCAAGAAAGAGACTTTAATAAAGACTTTTGAGAAACAAAGAATGAGAAAGTTTACCAAGAACAGAATCTCACTGAAAAATTTCTCTAAAGGATGTACTTTCAGGTGAGGAAAGAAAGATCTGGTACACAAGTGAAAATGATAAACAGCTGATACACACACAGATAAGTCTTAGTATATACGACAACTCCCCCCCAACTCCCCAAAAAAGGTACGTGGGGGCAAAAAAAAAAAATACAAACTGCAACTAAAACAATGGTGGAAATGATTACATTTAAAGCCATTTCATAATTTTATGCAAGAGGGAACTGGAAACACTAACTTTGGTTTCTGTTAATAATCATGTTAAAATTTTAAGATCAACCACTAAAAGAACAGAAATAGATTATATAGGTTGAAAGGAGAAAGCAGAATTTATCAATGCAACCTGGAAGAGGACAGGAAAGGAAAAGAAAAACAAGCGAGACAAATTGAGCAAAACAAGATAATAGAAACAAATAAAAATATGTAGATATTCTAAATAAATGTAAGACAGCCTAACATAATACTTAAATTTCATGTTTAGATTATAGAAAAAAACAGTGCAAAACAAAGCCCCAGCGGCATGCTGTATGGAAGTGATAGACTTAAACATAAAAGACACAGAAGATTAAAAGGTTGGAAAACTATATTAGGCAAACATAAAGAAAGTTTCAAAAATGTCAGATACAATCGATGAGTCAGGATACTGAATACGTAAACATCAGTAATTATACAGCTTGATCCATGAATGCGTTTCAAACCTATACCCAAGAAATTGGTGAATATACATTTTCCATAAAAATTA